TCAATCATGTTAGACGGTAAGAGACTGTAAGGAAAGTGTGTATCGAAGCTTCGCAAAGGGATAAGAGGACTCGGGCAGTATGTTTCAATACATACCTTGAATTTTGAGAGCAATGGAGGTCATGAGCTTGCAGAAGAGCGAAAGAAAGTGAGTCCGATTTTTATTTCTCTCGTGTAGGGTTAGGGTTAGGCGACCGATGCGTCAAGACTTCAGCCTGCAGCCCAAGGCCACAGGCATGGATAGATCGAAACGGACAGAATAGGTAAGGAGGTGGAGGAATAGGTATGTAGAGAGGCCATCTTGAAGAAAAAAAAAGATAGGTAGAGAGTCCATTGAGCATTCCGCTGAGAAAAAGAAAGATAGTTAGAAAGTCCATTGAGCATTCCCGCTCCAGGTATCGAAAGTAAAGCATAAGGATGAGGTCTGCGAACACAGCCTGTAGAGAATGCGCGTGTGTAATGTGGGTGTAGAAGTGTGGTGCAGCAGGTGGGTAAATAGCGTATAGTGCCGGCTATCGATTGTCGACAGCATTGTCGATCGTCAATGGTGTCGATTCGGAGACATGGGCCATACTACAGATGTATAAGTAATGGGATTGCTTTCAAGACCGCAATGACGCACCATGATAAGTTGAGGCTGAGAAGTGTAGACAGCAATTTGACGAACAGCAAGATTCAGTCAAGTCCGTCAAGTCCAGTCCTGCATTTGGAAGCTGAAGGCAGTGTCAGCGCAGTCCGATGCATGTACGGATACTCCTACCTTGAACCCGTAGGAGAACAAGGAACATGTGTGGTTGCTGGACGAGCAGGATGACGGAGAGAGTGAGGAAGAGGCATGAGTCATCAAGTGACAGGCGGTCACACACCCTCACGCTCAGCAGAAATGTACAAGTCGAAGGCTCGCTCAGCCCGACTGACAGTGCTCGGGACATTGGGTGCTACACCAGGCTTATTCTCGCCACTGACAACTCAGCGGAGAGTTCTAAACGCTGCAGCAGTCAAGAAGTACCGCATCGATTCAGCGCAAGCTCTGGAAAATGATATGGCAGGTACAGTCCGTTGTCAATGTCGATATCCTGTGTCTAAACAAGTGCAGTTATGAGCAATGAAGCTCTCGATACACTGCATGCACTTCAGAACCTGGCACAAGACGATGACTTCGACCCTTCGGACTTGCTTGGACGTGAAAACATCATCACTCTGAGTGGAGTGCTGGACGGGACCCACCAGGCAGAGATAAGTAATGCAGGTGGGGAGTTTGAGGGAATTGAAGAGTCGTTGAAGCAGGCGGAACAAGTCATTCGGTGCGTTTGCTCACTTTTTCTTGAAACTTTCTGAATGTAAGCGTCTAGACCGCACTATCGAGACTGGCGAACTCGTCGTGAGCGTACTCAAAGACGAGTTGACGCCTTCGAAATACAAATGAGCAGCATGCTCAGGGCCTACTACCGGTGTTGTGCTGGTGACAAGTCTGCCGTCCCGCCTGCAGATACACCCGATGCCGACCTTTACCCAGTAACGATTGTGGGTATGTTTGGTATGTCCTTCTCTTTCAATCCGCGTTCCTACTAAAGTTATCATTTTGCAGAGACCAAGCCCCTTCAAGAAGTCTGGCTCGACCCGACTGCTGGCGGCATTGCGTCGGCACTCATCGCCCAAGGACTCATTCCTTGTGCTCCCTGGGCCCCCAACCTTGTTTTCACCCTTCAAGTCATGGAGTTTTACCGCGTTGCTCATGCGTGCTGTCCCCAATACACTGTACATGCCTTCGTTCGGACGTTGAGCGACATTCATAAGGTGTGTGTTTTTTGTCTTGTCTTTGCTGCTCAATTGGCTGATCGTGCTTTAGCTACCACATCAGCCATATCTACTCCAGCAGTTTTCCATCGCATACGACCTGTTGCTCGACTTACGCCGCCGCGCTGAAACACAAGTTCTCTCGATACTGGGCCGCGACAATGGGCCCTGGCGCGTCAAAAATGTTTGCCCAGCATGTACATACAAGCTCAGCAATGAGCCCCAACTGCAATTCGGGATGATGTTCGCCATGGACGGCAATAACTCCCTCAAGCGGGTAGCGCGCAGGGAGTTAATCGATGATGGGGACCGTCTACAAAGCAGAGAACGAACGGATAATCGGAATGCGAGTAACGGGTACTACATCTCTCGCGAAAAGGTCAATGAAATTGCGAAGACACCATCGGGACGAATACTGACAACGGACGGCAAGGTTGGCTTATTCGTTTGCGACCTTGGGGTCTACTAATTTTGTTTTCATAGGCAAATAACAATCCATGCGGCGAACGATGGAAGAACATCAAGAACGACGTGACCTCCAAAATGTGGGGGATGTTCGATGAGACAGGAATTTTTCTCACTCTGTGCCGCCACGGTTTTGTCATCCTCGCCGCCGACATGGTTCAGAGCGGCGAACTGTAAGTGTTTTCCAATTCCAATATCTTGGACTCATGCTAACGGAACAACAGGTCAAAATATGCACTCTCCATTGTCAATGCCATCATTCGACTTATCGACGACGACGATATGGTGGCCGGTTCCGATGTAGCATGTAACCTCGACAAGACCATTGGGAACAGCACCTTTGGAGATCTGGCCGCGGAGAAGCGGTTGCGCTGTCTGGTGGGGTCCTTCCACGGACATGCGCACAACAGATTTTGCCAGCTTTCGTATTTGTCAAGCTATGTCGAGGGCTTGGGGCTCGAAGATCTCGAGGGCTTAGAGCGCTTCTTTTCGCGCTCAAATGCTCTTGCCCGTTCATGTCGTAATGCAAGTGCCTTCCACCGACAGCAAGAAATCACGACCTACTTCAAGCATGTCGACACCTTCGACACGTATGCCAATCTCAGTAAGCTGCCTTTTCATTCCTTTTCATTTGTTAATCTATTCCCATAGGCAAGTTTCTCTGCGACAACTATACCCAGGCCCTCAAAATCCTCGCCGACGAACGTGGTGTTCAAGCTCTTATGGAAGACGAAGGGATCACTGCAGAAGACTTCCATCTTGCCTTGAAGGAGGAGAAAGAGTACCTCGTGGCATTGAAAGACGGTCTCAAACCAACCGAAACTGGCCCGACACGCTACGTTCGAGCACTCAAGAAGCTCGAGTCATCAACGCAAGTCTTTTCTTTATGGCTCATCAAGATATTGATCTGTTTAGTTCTAACTTGAATGCCTGTCGAAGCGCTGCTCGACGAGCTCGTTCGGATGATGCCGCTTATGTACCTGGACGACCTAAGGCGGAAATCGAGGCTCGACAAGCCGAAGAGCGGTTTGAGCACGATCGGAAAACGGTGATGGAAATAGAGTTGGAGCTGAGCATTGAGGAGCGATGGAAGCCGGAGGATATGCAATATCGGGAGGCAGAGAAGGAGATGGCAAAACTGCAGCATAATCAAGCACTTGATAGGCTGGAGCTTTTGATCGTCCAGCGCTTGCTCGAGTTGACAAAGATGAACCAGTCGGGGCTTGGTATGTGGCTGTTATCGATGGGCGGATTGTGGCTGACAGTCTTGACAGCATATAAGATGCGAACCCATCTGGCGAAGGCCCTTCAAACTAGGTCACGAACAATTCGCGGGGCGATTGAAACCTACAACCAGCTGGCGCCGCTGCAAGACCCACCAAAAGCCCAAGTTGCGTGGACGGATGTTGCGACCACATCATTTCTCACCGACTTCGACCTGCTTCGAGATAGCACAAGTGCTGTACAGCATCAGCGATGGGCCCGACCTGTATACCGTGAACTTATGCATCGATATTTCAAAATAGAGAGGGCGCGGGAGGAAATTAAACGGCTTAATATGGAGATATGTCGAGTTCTGACATGGATGCGAGATGAGGTGGCGTTCCTGCAGGAAAAGGAGAGAGAGCTTCGAAACCCGTTGGGCAAGACATCGGAACAAGTTTTCGAGGACGGTCTCCTAGCGGTACAGCTTGCCGAGTATATATCTCAGCGACACCGTTTTGATGACATGCATCGTCAGCGCTTCGAGAAGCTGGCAATGTGTGAAGGATTCACCGGATCGTTAGAGCCAGGGACTGCCCTTCGACGACTTGCCGACACAATGATGATGGAGGTGGATTATATTGATGTTAGGGTGAGCCATGATGAGGTGGTCAATGGTGAACAGCGCAAGTTGGTGGACAATGTCGATGATGAAGCTGACTTAGAAGATGAAGGTGATGATGCTTACGACGAATACATAGCCGAGATAGCCTATAGCTTGGCAGCAATTGGTACTGATGAGGAGGAACAAGAAGTGTAATATAATCTAGAGTCTTCGGGTTGATGCTTTTGTTCTGTAAAATTTCCTTTTTTGGTAGTTGTGATCTGATCTGATCTGAGTATATGTATGAGTTGGCTTCTTCTGGTATATGGGTCCGAGTAAAATTTCCTTTTTTGGCAAGTCTGATCGGGTGATGGCACCGAGTCCCAATAGAGCAGCAAATATAACTTGGTCAAAAATTTGTCTAACATATTGCAACTTTACTGCAGTTTTATTGTACCCTTTACTGCAGCATAGGGACTTGGAGATCATCACTTCAAATTAGAATGGACGCCCAGGTGGGTTGTCCATTCTAATTTGAAGGGATAATTGGGATTAACAGGTGTTCCATCCTTATCATGCCCTTATCCCTGACAGTCAGTTTTGGACTTTCTGTTCTTCCTTGCATAGTAATTGACAATTGGCAACAGTGTGAGTGAACGAGAGTTTCAAGTTTACCACTTCCTCATGACTTGCACCTATCAAGAAATAAAACTATGTTTTCACCACTAAGGCCCTTGAATATCATTAGATTGCCCTTGAAAGGAGTAAGGGAGACAGGGATTTGAGCACAAGTAAAATGAATTAACCATGGATCATGAAACCAGTACAGAACTATTGAGTTCACAAACAATGAGTCCTGTACTGATAATATAATCTGCCTTAGGATGTAAGTCTCAATAGTTCATCGTCATTCATAATGTTGTCACAATGCCTCAATCATCCCGCTGTGCAAGGCCTACCGTCGATTCGCCTTGGTTGAATACCACACTACAGGAAGGTTAGCAGAGAAACACAGAAACATAATAGCAACACGCACTATACGCTCTTAAGGAATATGTCACCCAATATCTGTCTCCCATCAGCACAATACACACCCACAACAAGAAACAAAGACGCACGTCAAATGGATTCGACCCGCGCGACTGCACGCCGCCAAATACAAAGCCGTCGTCCGCGTCACCGAATGGGAAGTCTGCCGCATTTAGTGTGTACAATGTGTCCCCGATAGCAAACTGGATATCGGGCACGGTGGATGTCGAGGGGTACATCCACCCGCCTTGGTTCTGGTCGAACTTGGCGCCCTTGATCTTGCCATAGATGGCGGAGACCGTGTCGTCGTCGACGAGTGCCAGGGTAGCTGAGGTGACTAAGTATCGGGGCGAAATAGATTGGATGCGACTCACTGCCGGTGTCGAGAATGGCGGTGTTACCTTCCCGCTGGATCGTCTTGCCATTGAGCGTAAACGATGTGGACGGAACCATCCAGAAACCTTGCGAGCTGTACAATAGTCAGTCAGTGAACCTGACGCCCACATAAACGCCCACCTATCGACGTCCGTGTATGTTATCGGGTTTGACGTCACCGTCTCGTCAATCTCTCCGAAGCTATAGAAGCCAGCGTTGTCCCCTCGGTCGAGCTTGACAGTGAAGAGCGGCTGCGTAATAAGACCTTGGTCGATCATATTTTGCACAGGTGTCTTCACAGGCTTCGGCGCGACAGTGTTGATTGCAGGCCACGCAAGTCCGAGCAGGCCGTCGCTGCCTTCCCCTTGTGCGAATTGCGCACTCAGTTTCTGCGCGAGCTCAACGGCCTGCTTCGGGATCGCGACGCCGCCGATAGTCACCGCTGTTCTCGTCAGTTCCCAGATGAGAGGTAGAAGAAGCACGCACTGTCGAGGTATACATTGCCCGAGGCCGACGAGCCGTCCCCATACGAGATGTTCCATTTGGAGCCCTTCTGCTCCGTCGCTGTCTTCGATTTAGACGGGTTATAAATGTTGTGGCCCGTCTTGGATACACGGGTGAGTTCAGAGCTAATGGGCGTCAGGGACACTGCCTTGGGAAAGATATGACACGCACCTCCACACCCATAAGTCGCTCGACCCCGTATCAAAGTCCAGGTTCAGCGTAATGCCGGGCGTGCCAATCTTGACAGGGACGACGTATTCCGCACTAATCTCTGTCAGCATGCGTTGATCCAGTAAGGCAGACACACGCACTCTGTACTAAGCGATAAGCGAACGCAGTCGTAGACATAACGAGGCACGCACCATTCTCAACACTCGCCGCAGGAACATCGCCGCTCTCCCCCGACGCCTTGATATGCACGACCTTGTTCTCGTGTTTCTTGAACGGCGCGAATTGCGTGGATTGGAAACCATAGCGGTTCGCCGCTCGTGCATAAGCAGAGAAGAAGTTCTTCGTTCTGGCATTGCGAACGAGGGGGCGGAGGACCGACATGTTGTTGGCAGCGTCGGTGGCGGGCGTTTTGGGGACGTGTTTATCTGTAGCAGCTTTGTCCGAGGTGGTGAAGCGGGAGGAAATGAAGGAGAAGCAGGAGCCCATGGAGGGGGGAAGGAGGAATAGAGGGAGGGTGTAGTGAGTGCTGAGGAGAGTGTGGGCTATCGCCGCCCGCTTATATCCGGAAACCCACGCGCGCCCTGCAAGGGCTATCAATAGGAAGAAACTGCGCAAAAATAGAATGATGGCGCCGGCGCTATTTTATTTCCTGGGCTTCTTCTGCAGTCAGACTGACGATGCTATAGTCTGCGCTGGTTAAAGATAAGCATGTCTGCATTGGAGAGCATCAGACGCACACACACCGCCCGAGATGGCACGCTCGGTGGCCTCGACGTCACCGTGTGTATCTGCCAGCTGGCTGCTGGACAGGCCCTGAGCGATCTATTGACGCGGAGAGCGAATGGAAGCACATACTCTTCCATTACAGGCGCAGCTTCATCGACTCGGACTCCCAGCGCCAGGAGAAGAGATGTCCCAAAACGGAGTTCTGTGCCATAGCAACGACACCAAAAGAACACGGAGGAGGTCGAATGCGAGCGGTCGGGTGCTGCTGACGGGGTGATAGGTGGTATCAGAGTCGCACATGAGCATGGTCGCCGGCCGTGGGATGGCGTGGAGGGAGAGCTTATCGTGTCGGGCAGTTGATCATGACGGGGAAGAAGAAGCCGCGTCACTCTCAGGTCACTGATCATGATCGCAGATTTCATCGGACTCGTCGGCCGATGGACCGGACTACCAACGCTGCCTTCGTCATTGCCTCGTTCGTCGCTTGGCACAACCCGCCGTTTCAACTGGCTGTCCTCCTCAGGCGTTGATGGCGTCCCGCATCCGCTGATGGTTTCCCGAGAGGGACTCCCGTCACAATTCAGTTCCGGATCCCAAGCACGTCAGAGGTTGTTTCAAAAGGATGAGCGCCCTGTCTTCCGTGGGTTTCTTCCTTTTTCCTTCCTCCCCCAGTGGCGGGCCATCGACCTTTGAGCATAGTTCTCCTGCAAGGCAGGCCTTGCTTTTCTTCCGAGTCAGATCTTATAATGGCGTTCTCTCCGGGTCTGTTCATCTTGTTGTGCTTTATCATCTTTCCCTTTGGTGAATTGACTGCTTTGGTTTCAGCACCATGACTCACTGAAAACTTTCCACAGCCATCTCCGCTCCATCACCTGCATCAACAAGCATCACCCTATGGCAGTTTGGCCAGCCACGGCTTCTAAACGCTCCACTCGGCACGCTTCCTCTCATTCCGCTGGGCAGCGAAGGCGGCGCTACGACGTATCTATATCAGGCTCTGGTCCCTGCAACACCCACGGATGATCCGAGAGTAATTGCGACATCAACGGGTGCGCCTAACCGGTTTATCTCTGTGTGCAAGACTTACAAATATATTGCAGTGGCGCGGACAATAATTGCGTCGGCTTCCGGCTGGGTCGAGCCCTTCGATAATGGGAACAACATCGCCTGCCATCTCATCAACCCCACCTTCGGCGCGTGTGTAGAGGGTACGGCAAGCCAGACGGCAAACATGGGAACACCAACACCAGAGGTGCTACAGGTTGCTTTAGATGCACTTCCTGCGGCCCAGAGCTTTCTGCCGAATCCGTCGACTTCGCTGCCTCAAAGCACACAGGCTGCCGCGGGCCTGCCGCTACCGGCAATCGTCGGCGCAGTTGTCGGCGCCGTCCTGCTGATAGCAATTGTTGCTGGTGCTTGCTTCATCCTCTCACGCCGGCGGAGGAAGCAACGCAGCATTGAAGACGGAATGGCCCCGCGGCACTTCCTCGCCCCACCCACTGCATACCCTTCCGCTCCGAAAATGAGCTACAGCTACACGCCGTACACGCCGAACGCCCACCGACGCGGTCTAACCATCGATACAAGCGTCTCAACTCTCGTCTCCTCCACCCCGAGCATGTCGCAGAAATCCAACCACCTCGGCGACGTCGGCTATCAACAGCGCCTTGATCCGCCAGCGCCGTCAGTGCACGCGTCCTCTGCGGCTTCCGTCCTGACGAACCCATATCCTGAGTCCGCGCTCACAAACCCATACGCCGAGTCTGTGCTCACAAACCCGCATTCGCCTGTCCCATCAATGTACCCCGAGCTATCCGGCGCTCTCGGGCCATACGGGCATCTCAGTCCGCCGGGACATTGGCGCGCCGGCGTTGGTGGCGAGGAGTCCAGAGTTCCGGCGCATCCAGGGGTCGCTGGCCGAGCAATTGCAAGCAGCAGCAGTGTAGTAGTAGACAATGCGCCTCTCCCCACCTCCTCTTCAGGCAGCTTTGCACGCGTTATGTATGACGACAACGGTGAGGATCGAGCAGATGATGCCCCGCCGCCAATGTATTCGGGACCAAGTTCCTCCAAGATCGTAGTTACTGGCGACGTGAAAACTACTAGAGAATGAGGGATGTATTTATTTGTATAGTTATTAGTGGAAACAGAAACACCCATTACTCATCTCATAAGGTATGAAAAACTTTAAGCAAGCACTTCGATGACCTTTCTCCCTTCGAAATCAATTCCCCGGGTTAATTACAACACAAAGATTAAGGAACTCGGTATAAAACGTCCTTCGCATGATCATATATCATTTACCACCACTCTGTACCTCACCATCGCTCAGTAGTAGTAGAAGGACGCGGCCTGGGACGCCTGGTAAGCGCTGCCCACGGTGCCATACGACGTCTCCTCGTTCCAGTTGTTGGTGGGGACGTAGTAGCTCGCGCCGATGTCAGAGCCCGTGAAGTTGAAGTCGTAGTTGCTGAGCGTGCCGTCCGAGTTGTAGATGCTGCCGAAGTGGCTCGAGATGTAGCCGTCGTAGCCAACGTGGCGCCCGCTGCTGCGGCGAAGGTCGTGCGAAAACCCGCCGAGGGAGGCGTAGTACTGCTGGAAGACGATGGTCTGGGTCTCGACCTCGCAGAACTGCTCCGTGATGATGCGCTTTGCCATCTCCTGGAGGACAGCGAGACGCTGTTGAACGATCTCGACTTTCTGGGAGTGGCAGACGAGTTCGGGGGTCGACTGGCGGACGACTACGGGGGAGAAGTGCTTGAAGTGGGCAAAGTCTACAAGCATTTAGGGCAAATGACGGCGGAGATAAATGATGGATACGGACCGTCAGAGCCATAGAAGTTGTCGAAGCCATGAAGCGAGCTGATGCCGCCCCAGTTTTCGAAAGAAACACTTGAGGATCCGTAGCCGCGAGCTGCAACACGGGAAGTGTCAACGGGCACCGCAATGGCGCCGGTGGCGAGGGTGATGGCGATGAGTGAAGCAGCGAGATTGGCAAACATTCTGGGATTGTCGTGGGGGCTAATGTCGGTAGTGGTGGTGAACTAAGGCGACGGTGAGCATTGCAGAAGAGACTAAGTCCACATAGACATACCTCTAGGTCACTTGAGATGCTGTGCGAACGAAGCGAAGAATGAGCGAGTAGCCGGGCTAGCCGAAAAGAAAGTCGGGGAAGTGTAGAACGAAGGGAGGGAACAGAAGAGGAAAAGAGTCGATGTGCCTTTGTCGTCCCAGCAAACGGTGCATTTATACAGGTAACTGGTGGAGGCGTAGCACCGACAGCCCTGATTCGTTCACACCTGACGTGAGCACGACAGGACAGGAAACAGGTGAATGATGCGATTGGATGCTGTCGAGCTTCGCGCACAAGAGGATAACAGCCAAGATTTGGTTGTGCTACCCGGTTGCAATAGCGCTGGCTGTCGATAAAGTCGAGAAGGAGTCATCGGCCGTGTTTCATTCACGCCTGACGGTTTTACTAGATAGCAGACACTAGACAGGAATCCACGTCAGCAAGACACAGGTCATCTAGCTGACACACACACTAAGGATAGACTCTGGCTTGGCACGTCCAGCGCCGGCCTTCGTCGAACTCGTCCTTGCATGCGGAAACGCCAACTCGCAATCCCAAGCTGTGCTAGCACATTCAGTAACCCGACCGTCGAGTTGGCTTTGGCAGGCAGCCTGTCAGCATGAACGCAGGAGGGAGTCGAATTGAGCAATTGCAGGACTGATGAGCGCCCGAGAAGCTGCTCATCGCGGGCGGGACCAAGATGCGATGGTGTGACGTGGCAACGGGCCGTTCCGCTTGTGGACTGACTTGATGCGATAATTACCGATATCAAATGACGTTGTATGAATCGCGTAAGCTGTCGCCCAGGACTCGCCCTTGTGGTTGGGTTTTCGGATCCAGGGGAATGCGGATTTGATACACCTGGCCGAAAAGGTTCACACGGTCGTTGTGTTTCTTCTTGGACTTGCAAAGAAGATCTAGAATTTCCATTCAAGTTGCCGCGCCACTTGCTGTATCTTGCAGTCTGACGCCAACCTGCAAAGACCTGGCTTTCAAAGGCAACTGCGAATTATCATCGAACAGATATGGATAGCTGTTCGCATGTCGTCATAGCAGTAGACCGCACGGACCCGGTGTCGGTCACGGGGACATATTTTCTGCCCAAAGTTAAACACCGAGAGTTGCAATAACAAGATTAATTTTATCATTCATTCGGAGTCAGTAACCTGACGGTGTACACTAATCGCTCGCCCGGCCAATAAGTTATCGTTACGGGAATAGCACAACGGCAAGTGCGGGACTCCGGGTCCCGCGGGCCGCGGGCCGCGGCCGCACCGCCACGCCCAAGACGGAAAAGTAGCTCGCGGGTATTCCTACCACGCACAGTTCGCGTCGTCGAGCATCTCAGCCTGCAAAACAGCGTCAACGACATTGGCTTCCGGAACCACGGTGCAGCTCACGATGTCAGGCGTCCTACTGGCCGGGTGCGGGACCGGGGGCACGGGGCCGCGCAGGGTGGGAGCGACAGCGAAGTCCTGATGCGGGGGCGAGTACACCTGACGCGGGGCAGCGTTAGTGTGGGAGCCGCGCAAGAGGTGGTTGGCTGCGAGACGTACCGGAAGCGCGTCGAATTCCGCGTCATAGACGTACATGGGCGGGGCGACGTCACCGCTTGGGAACGACATCTAGCAGTGTGGGCGATTGGACGATGGGACGACAATGATCAGAATGTACCATATACGTCTCTGCGCTGGGCGCCTTGTCGATCGAGGATGCTGCAGGGAACGACGGCGCCGGCTCCGAGCGTTGGGGGCCCTGGGGTTGCATGAGAACGTGCCAAGCAGGCACCAGCGCAAGGGAGACTCACACGGCGGCGGTAGAGCGTCGCATATCCAAGGCTGAATTTCTGCGGAATTGCTTCAGCGAGTTGGAAACGCGCGAGTGGGGCGGTCTACCATGGTAGATGTGGACCGCGGTCTGGATGGGGGACGACAGGCTGAAGGCCTCCAGCTGGAGTCTTATAATCGGCGTATTACCGAGTAAGACCCGCCGATCTTGACGGCCAGAAGACGTCCTTCTAGGCTGCGTCGCTGCCGCATGACATTCCCCAGCCAAGAATAGCGGTAGTGGCGGTAGATTATATGTTCCAGTGGCTCAGGTGGCTGATTCGGAGCCGCTGGCCCACATTCTGCGCCTATCATGTGTGTCGGGCCGCACTACAAAATGGATGCACTCACCGTCTCCACTCAAAGACGAAAAGCTTGGGAGGCAAATTCGCCCAGAGAAGGATACGCGGATCACAGCGTGACCGAGGACGACAGGTGCCCAATTTATCACAGAAGGCCAGCGGCATCCTCGGTAGTTGTCAGCGTCTCGAGCCGTTTTTAGCTCTCGGAGGCGAATTGTCGGTACGGCAACTGCTGCGGCAGCGTCGACAAGAAGGGGAAGGTGGGAGACCGCGCGCGTCCAAAGTCACAAGCCTTCTCGAGTCGAGGTACACTTGAGATTGCTTGAAGCAGTAGGAGAGGTGACGTGGCAGCATCCAGCCTTGCCGCGGCGGCCCCGGGGATACAATAGTGGGCCGAAAGCAGCCTCCGAGGCGGCGTCCGACGGGGCTCCAGGTCATCGGTAACTTGGTCGATGGGTCGGAGCGGGTAGATGGAGGGAAGAAGCAAGCCGTGAGGATGGGTGAGCAAGAATGATCGGATCACGTCTCCGATGTCACGGGTCATATGGCGACCATCGGCCGGGAATTGCACGTGCAGTTGTTGATGGTCCCTGCGCCGACTGCCAAGAGAATACCGCACTCTTTCTACTCCACCACGACGACGCGGCCACACATGCTCCCCACTCGTCTCTCCCCTCACCCTTCGCCATCCTCTCCATCTTGTTCCTACCGTCCATGGTCGGCGGCTTCTGCCTGCTCCTGTTAGTGCTGGCCAGAATTATATTATGGTTGATTAAATATTGAATATATTCAGAATATTATGAATATATTATGCCCCTGGTGGATCACTTGAATATGATTATGTTTGAATATATTATATTATATTATGACTATACTATATTATAGTCACAGAATATTCAAATATAGTAAGGTGGATGATCACAGCTATTTTCTTAGTCCATGTACCTCAGTCATAGTACCAATCTTAGTCTGAGTTAGCCCTACTTCTGATAAATGACACATATTATCTATTATCTATGGTGATTTATATATTACACCTATTAGGAACAAGTGTCAGGAGTGATCACTTTGGGTTGACCCTATTAAACATAGTGTAGAACCCCTGATCAAGTGTCTACAGGCCAACCTAATGCTAGTGGCAATGCCCCTGATTGTATCTTGAGAGTCCTATATAGCCAAAGTTGGAATTAGAGAGGCCTAATAGGAAGTTGTCCTGACAATCTAGCATGTATCTTATGTTTTGAATTTTTTTCTAGCAGTAAATATATCAAATATACGAAGAGATATGCATACTAGATTATAGTTGAATATATTTGTAACATATTCATATTTTGCTGCTGAATATGATTATACTATACTACAAATATATTATTGTGTTGGAGCTCTGAATATGATATGACTATAATATATTATGCCTATAAAATAATATAATCATATTTGGCCAGCACTAGCTCCTGTTCATCGCCCTCTCGTCCGTTCGCTGCCGTCCCGCACGGGCCGCACCATGCCCCGAATACAAACGCACTGGCACTTGCTCCCCCTCGACGGACGAGGAGTGAGACGAACCTGATTCCGGAACGACGGGAGGATGTTCGCCTGCGCTCCGAGCCACATCGACAACCGCGCTGAGACGAACACAGTGCGGATGCGCACGGGGATCGGGCCGCGGGCGCCGATACTCCATGCCCACCAGCGCGGAACGGGGACGGCGGGTAAGTGGCCTAAAAGCGATCTCGAAAGTGGCTGATGAAGCTTTGGCCAGCGGCGAAGCGGTCGATGACGTCTGGCACGGTGTCGTGCGTTCAATTGTCCATTCGTTGTCTGCGGATATGTTGACACTCGGTGTTGAGCCGCCAGCGCGGCTGGTCGCGGAGATCGCGTCACGTCAGCGACATAACGTCAGCACGCCGCGGCATCACGCGCATCAAACGCGTTCACGCGCTCGACGGCGACGCGTCGCCGGCCCACTGACTCATCGGGCGCGGCCCCGGAACTCGGTCTGACTCGCCCTCGGAGTCATTTCATTTTATTATAGTATATAAAGCACTGTCCTTCTATAGTTACAGGAAGTTTTTTAGCCCTCCGTGTTTATGATATAAGTTGTGCCTCCGTCGTCGCGCCCTCACCGCTTAGTCAGCATGGCTATTGTCGCCCTCGTCATCCCTACCTACCCATATACTACTACTTCCTACCCTCCAAGTCCTGGGTATGGACTCCCCCTCGCACAAACATACAGTTTGTCAGCCCTAGAGGTGTTTTTGCATACCTTTTATGGTATAGCTCGCGCCTCTAGTCGCGCCCGGCAGCGCATCATTGGACTTGGACACACAGGCTGAACGTGGGCGTCCAAGTGCGGAAGGTGGCCACGGGAGATGTCGAGGGGTATCTGACAATGTCTAGGTGCGTCTATATGTCTGTATTGCGCCGTTGTTCTACTACCGCTTCAGAGAGCGCTACCGCCTTGCGGGCGGCGAGTTCAGCACAGATGCGTTCTCCGCGACGGTCTACTCCGAGGGCATCACAACTGGACTAACACTGAGATCGGTATCTTATTTAGGTGGCCCATGCTCATGATTGGCCAGACCTTCGTGTACCCGTACGTTGCGGGCTCGTCTAGTATGGCACTCGAAACAGGGAAAAATTATCCCCAGGAGAGAAACCTGTATCCGATGTCTTACCTGTTTATATGACAATGTCTCGGAAGACTGAGCCTCAAGAACTCGAACCCTCCGACAACTCAGCATTCCAAGACATTGGCACTGCCGAGATATCATAATCAGTGCTGGACATTGCTATTATGTACTGAAGTAAAATAGGCACGTTATTTTTGGAGAAAACAAAAGAAAAGTACCATTGTCAGGGGAACCCCTGCTTCAGCCTCCTTCGGACCGTCCAAGCGCATCCGAAGCGCATCCGAAGCGCATCCGAAGCGCATCTGAAGCGCATCCGACCGGCACCCCCTTGGACGCTCCGACCTACCCCGTCCATCGTTATTGGCCTCCTTTGCCCGCATAATCACCAATCCGTCAAGACCCTCCCAACAATCACCTTGGGACAGAGCCTGCAATGCCGCTCAGGCCTTCTGCACTCTACGTCGGCAGTTACGGACGACCAGTATATATTTGGCGCCCTAGCAGGTTCACTTTTGGTAGGTTTCATTTTATTTCTTCATTTATCAGGGTTTTAGAAATTGACCTCTTTTCTCAAAAAGAAGGCTGTAAGGGCAACCCTGGAGGCCTGAGATCAAGGTCCTAGCAGGGGAGGATCCAAAGAAAAGAAACTCTCATGGTCGGCCTGCTAGGGAGCTGACTATATACTGCCTTTCCGTAGCTGCTGATGTTGGGCACCGTCATAGGCCAGATCCCAGGACAACTGTTGTCGGTATATTTGTAGATGTACTATGTTCCTATGTGATAAAATAATATATCACTTCTCCTCACCCTAGTACTCAATTAACAAGACGAGACAAGGATGAAGGAAGGAAATATGCACTGAAAGAAACTGAAGGGCTTACCAGTGGAATGACAAACCTTGACACATGTGACAATTTTTGATTTTGATAGGTTTTTTTAAACAGGATCACATGATTGACTTACCAGAAAATAACATGCAAACTATTGTACTATTCTAGATTCTGATTGAAAGAATAGTCATAGGTTTGGCTTTGTATTAACATTTCAGAATCCAGATATGGGACATATCTGATCAGTAGGTCACAAATGTGACAATACTGATCAGATATAGAAGTTCATTGATAAAATAAAGAGGACTGTATGTACAGCCTCATGTTACACTGAGAACTCATAGAAACCCCCCCTTATACTTATTGATGAATACCTAATACTTGAAATAAATAACTACAAAAAAATATCAAGACCCACTGGGGGGACTGACCAACCAGTGTTATGTGCATTGATGTCATCATACTTGGTGTTTGGGAGGAGATTAATGTCACACTACTATGGGCTTCTTCTCTGTTCCCACACTTTGAAATTTTCCTGCTAGAGAAATCTTTATAATTGTGCTTTCAGTAGATGGGTCCTCTAGAGCATCCAGAATTTCCTTTGCTGACTCTTTCAAGTTGACAAGTATTGCCTCTTTGATCTCAATAACAGGTTTCTCAACTTGTTCTTTGAGCTGTACCAGAAGGCGCCCAGAAATCTCTTTGTGTTCGGCCCTGAATATTGCATAGTGTTCTACATGTCCTTTCTTGTATACAATAACGGAAGTGGTAGACATCTGATCATCTGGGGTTGTGCTTCTTATATGATCTAAAATTGTGACCACAAGATAAAGTGAAGCATTATCTCTGACCAGGGTGATACCCAAATCACTCAAACTGGTTTGTTTTCCAGACAATACATTGGTGATTCCTGAAGTAGCCACTGAAATGTGCAGAGTGATAAATGAGGCAAATACTGCAGTTTTATCATCTTCTGGAAGCTGAGGCATCCGTAGTATTACATCCAGGAAGTACTCCAAAGGAATGCTCTCAAACTCTTGAGGATTCTGGTGATAAGGCAGCATATCTTGATAGTTGATAGTACTTGTGGTGGTGGTTAGTGCTTTGATGGGCCATTGTAATTCTAGGATGCAAGACATTTTTTCATCCCATTTAGGATTCAATGACCAGAGTAGAATCCGCAGAAGACACAGAAAGACTTCTAAGCCAAGCCACAAAAATGTCTCCTGTGATGTTGCTGACTGGACAATATTAAAACATCCAATATAGCCAATACTTGTAGCTACAGAACCAATTAACAAACAGAGACGGGGAACCCATAGTAATAGTGGATCAAACCCTATAGGCACAGGGAATGACCACTTCCTATAGAGTGGCAGATCCATATTCATCTTGTCTCTCTTGAGAATCATCTTGAATCTTGATCTGTTGTTGCAGTGCAAACTGTGTGGAAAGTGCACATAGAATAGAGCCTATGATCCGCAACATTGGAAAGAACCATGTCAGGAACCTTCCGTGGTTGTGGATAATCACCAGGATATAGGGTGCCCAGGCGAGACAGGAAAGCATAGTAGTTGCCAAAGTGAGCTGGATATTCCATTCAGCAAATGCAAATGTTGCAGTGTGATACGAGTTTCTGGGATTTTCTTGTCCCTGTGACATGCATTTGGCAATCCGCATTTCAGCTTCATAGCTCAATGGCTGGTCACTGCTCATGCCTATCATAGAGGCTACAGAGCCTACAAGCTGGAATCCTCCATCATGTAAAACCTTGGCACCATGGAAAGGCCAATTGATACTTGCAATTAGAATGGCAATAGATGCTTTGACAATACCAAGGCACCCGAAGAGGGATAGTGGTGCAGCAGCAGCATAGAGATAGCCATTTTCCAAAGCTGAACCAATATGCTTTTCACATTGATCAGTGCCAATGATAGGCAAAAACCCAGAGACATCTTGAATGCCGCTAGTAAGTGTATTTCCGAATCCCATAGCTCTGGACTGTGTATATAGCCTAAATAGATAATTGCAAGGTTAAAATAAGGCTTACGAAAGATGTGTTCCGGGGGGGCAATCAGAGCTCGAGGCCGAGAAAGAACCTGTTAAATACCTGGTGGGAAGTTGGAACATTCCCACCCGTATCAGCCAGGCCAGACATGAATCATTTTAGCTGCCATTCTTGCTATCGAAACTTGTTTGATAACAGATTCCATTAGAGTTGCCGCAGTGTCGCAGGACTGCCGCAGAAACGATGTCGCAGAACGGTCACAGACCCGACCGCGGCATCAAATCCATCAGCCGCATGACATGACAGCTGACTGTTGGTATACACGCGTCATGCCATTGCCCTTTGTCTTCCATCTTATCTTGATGTACTAGTACTCTAGCATGAATCCGAAGCCACGAGCAAGTCATGAGGCTGCGAATGGTGCATAAATAGAAGTAAGTAAGAATATGTGATGCCCCGTCCCTCGATGACACGCATCACAGCCCATGAGCGTGTGACTGCATCATACATGACTTGGATGTCTGTCCGCGATGTTGCTCTGCTCAACGAGGAGCAAGACATCGACTTTCTGGTTCAAAAGCTCAGTGCTGATGTCGAGACTCTTAAACTGATCCGCACTACCCGTTATCTTGGTCCTCGCGAGCACGTTGCAAAGGCTGGCAATCTCCATCTTGCTTGGATATACAAAGATGGGAATGTCAACGACCAGAAGCGGTTCGAAAATATGCTTCGTATATCGCCATACTGCTTTGATGTTCTTCTGGAGCTTATCAAGGACCATACGATTTTTTCTAACAACTCGAATAATCCGCAAACACCTATCGAGCAGCAACTTGCTGTTACACTGTATCGTTTGGGGAGATATGGCAATGGCGCTTCAATCGAGGACATTGCACGGATTGCAGGTTGCAGTGAAGGGTCTGTGGAGAACTTCACAAACCGTGTCTTCACCGCAATTGAAGCTCTGCATGATCTCTTTGTTCGGCCATTAACAACAGCAGAGAAAGAGGTGGAAAAGGATTGGGTAGAGCAAAATGTTGGGTTTGGAGGGCTGTGGCGCGAAGGATGGATCATGTATGATGGCACCATCGTACCCCTCTATGCGAAACCTGCTTTGAACGGTCAAGGATACTACACACGCAAATCCAATTATGGCCTGAATGTTCAGGTATAGTTGCTCTTCTGTTCCCTTATTTCAATTATTGATTTTTGTATCCAGATCGGCAATGCACCATCTAACCTACGGATCGTTGATTATTCCATTGGACACACTGGGTCAGCGCATGACCAACTTGCTTTCGAAGGCACCGCGGCATACAAATATCCAAATTGGCTTTTTTTCGGTCGTGAATTTGGATGGTTTGACTCAGCATACACCCTTACTGGCCGCTCTATTCCGATCATCAAAGAACCAGCTGCTCTTGAGCCAGACAACATGGCTTTCAACAAGACTTGTTCGCACCTGCGTGTGAGATCAGAACATTGTATGGGTGCCTGGAAAGGTCGATTTCAAGCTCTCCGAGAGCTGCGGGTGAATATAAATTCGAACTCTGACCACGAAGAAGCACTTCGATGGATTATGGTTGGTATCATCCTTCACAACATGGTAATTGACATCGAGGGCGGGGACGCAGGTGCCGCATTTCGTGCTTTTACACAGTCGCGATGAAGAACAGGCTGACCGTGGTGCACCAGATGAGCCTACTGAACCTGACACCGAGGCTGGTCGTGCAAAGCGTCTGGAACTGATCCAGGAACTGGCGGCTTATCGAGCGACTCTTTCTCATCATGAGTAGATTTTATGTGTAAAATATATACAATGAATCTAAATTACCGGAATTATAATGAGTGTAAAGAAAGATTGGAGAGACAGGCTTCTAGTGGAAGGAAAGTAATTATGGGGTACTAGACCCACCCACATTGGTAAATAGCTCCTCTCGTTGGCGACGTTCATCCTGGCTTTGCTCAAATACAAGAGCCACCCGCTCCTTATATGCCTCGAGGTCGAGCGTACCGTCATCGCGAAGTTTGGTTAGCTGTTCGAGCTCTTTGAATTGAAGTTCACGTGCGGCGTGAGCAAGGCGGATATTTTCTTGCTTGATACGGATTGTTTCGTGCTTAAGTCGGGCCTCTTCACGGCGATCAGCAGAGGCAACAAGATTCCTGCAAGGTGGTTAGCATAGAAGTCGCAAAGACATCCGATACATACTGCTGAATCGACAGTAACCCTTCTTCGAATGTCTTGCGCGCTGGTCGGATTGCAGAAGTCGATGATTTGGCTGCTTTCGAAAGTGCGGATTGGTACTTCAATGTAAGCTCTTCGGATTTGACCTTGGGGTGGGTATGGGCAAGTGGAGAAGAGTCGGCAGCAACTGGACTACTGGAGGTCAAGTCCAGAGATGGTGAACGCCTGGATGGTGTTTGCGTTGCTTGGGCTAAGAGATCGGGGTCGATAAGTGAGTAATCATAGTCGTCTGCATCGCCTGCAACGTCCTGGCTGTTGGAAGGAGGATTTGGTGGTTGGAAATGGCGAACTCTATGCCCGTTTGGCCCAATTCCAGTGTGAATAACAGGCGGTGTCATGTTAGAGCGTGTCGCAAGGAACTTGTGCATTTGAGTGAAGAACGGAAACTCCTTGTTGATGAGCTCTACTGCAAGTTAGAAAACAAACATTGGGTAAGAAGGAAGTCCACGTACCCCAGATATTAAGTGCATTTGGAGGTGTATCCTTCGTTGGGCCATCTGCACCAATATATGCGTCCGCGTACTCGTGTACTCCATCGTCCTCTTCTTTCGACTCGCCTCCCTCATCTCTGTCCCCACCCACACCACCACCAGTCACATACAGACCCTTAGCCTTTGTCTTATAGCGCTTGACCAGCCTACTTAACGTCAGCGGGCATAATGAGTAATAACAGAGACATACTCTTCAGTCTTGCTCTTGATGCGTGTCGCAAGCTTATGGGGCGCAATGGCATAGAGTGCTGGTAGTATCTTCTCACCCATCTCCTTGTATACGGCGATTTTACGCTTGCCAGCAGTTTTCTGGATGCCTCAGTGAGCTGACAGGTAGAAGTAGACTTGCTTACCTCGTCGGTGCCAGCAGTCTTGCCAAACAGAGCCTTTCGGTACTTCTCCTCAGATAACAGTGCCACAAGAGCCCAGGTAAGCTTGTTGTTGTCTGCAGTCCAAGAAATGGATGGTAGGTCGGATTCCTGCGCAGCTGCGCCTCTCGACTTCTTCTTCTTGGCCACGGCAACCGGGCTGGCGTGTTTACGTGGTGAGCGACGCAGAGCTGTCGGTGCCGTTGTGGGGCTTCGTGCCATTGGCTTAGCTTACGGGCAGTCTGGCACGAGAGAGGTAAAGAAAATTAACGCGTTATGGCACATTCACGGCTATTCTAGGCGACGCTGATGGATTTGATGCCGCGGTCGGGTCTGTGACCGTTCTGCGACATCGTTTCTGCGGCAGTCCTGCGACACTGCGGCAACTCTGAGGACCCCTATTGAAATCATTATCTGTTCACGCGGGCAATGATCTGGACACATCACATTGATGTCATCGGCTGGCGGCTCGGGTCACGGAGTGATAAAACAAGAATGGCCGGAAGAGGGCCGTCACTGCTTAAGGCACCCTTGAACCGACTCCCCGTCATCCCACTAGAATCCCCAACCCAATTTGGAGCCAAGAACAAGCATAAAATCTTGATTTTTCATGTACATTGGTGCCAATTTGGTGGACCAAGAAGAGGCGTACTTATCATCCACTCCCGTTCATCTGACCCGCAATACTCAGCACGTTACTGACCATCTCCACACCCTCCTTGAAGCCCTCCACGAACTCGCTGACGTCCTCCGCATGCAGATCATGCCACTTCCGGGACTTGGTGGCACCATCGGCCGCCGGCCCGGGCGTGCTCGTGCGCGTCGCGCGCCAGCCGCTCAACGCCGCCTCAATGTCTTTGAACCATGCCTGCGGAAGGTCCCACCACACCGAGTCGTCGTTGAACAGCGCGAAGAATTGCGTCGTGCTGTTGGGGTCCAAGGCGATGTACTGCCGTCGTTGTTAATCAAGGCAATGGGGAGTGAAGAACCGCACCTTTAGGCCCTTCCGCCGCTGCGCCTCGCTCTCCCCCTGCGCGTCCTTCTCGAACATCTTCTCCAGCTCCGGATATAATGTCTTGCCGGATCCCGAGTCGCCGCCCAGCGCGAGCTGCCACGCATAGCTCCCGTTGCTGTACACCACCGCATACGTGCCCTCCCGGCCCAGCGCCACGCACACAGGGTGGCGCGTCGCCGCGGACTCCGTGATGCCTGTCTCCAGCCCCGGCGGCAGGTTCTGTGCCGCGTACCCCGCAGGGGATGCGGAGAAGAAGGACCGATCGGGCCCGAAGGCGGTGTTGTACGTCGTGCCGAAGCGCATGAAGCTGTGCAGCCGCGGGTAGGCGCTGCCCATCGCGTCTCCTGGGGGGCCCATTAGTCTTATGCAAGAGAAGGGCATACAGTAGTGTGCGCACGCTCGAGCCAGCTCTTCCCTGTGGTTGCCTCCCAGGAAAGCATATAGTACCCCGCATCGTCGAGCGGGAGCGCAACGTCGAGCATGCGCGCGTGGTACTGCGGGTGGGACTTGTCGGTGAGAATGCGGAGAAGTTCGGTGGGCAGCGGCGGGTCGTCGCTCCTTCGAGGCTGTCAACAGATACGAATGAATCCGCAGGCCACTGACCCGGCAAAATGTCTCCCCGCGCGCATGATGTACGCGTTATTCACGCCAAACGAGAATGACACGTCTGATTTGGCGGCCATAGGTCGGTGTGAGCGTCTGAGGAGACGTCGACGAAAAGGCGGCTTTTATGAGATGGGCTCGGATGCTAAAATATGGATTGCAACCTACCTGCTGGGGCGAGACCAGGGTAAGTTATGGCAGTGTTCCCAAGTGTATTCATAGACGCGAACCTGTGAGAAGATGAGCGGAAACAGCGTGAAGGCTCAGAGAAACACGCAGCGCTGGACTATTCCTCCTACATTTCACAGCACCTACACGCGTATTGCGGAGCGGTACCAATACCAGTCTAAGATCCACGTCCCGCTGGGGCGCTGGGAGCGAAACTTTCGGGGACGGTCTCCGGGACGCCCACGGGACCGCATTCTTCGATCAGACAGATATCCGCCAGCGCTACGGTCATATCCATGAATCAAGGCGATGCAGCGCACCGGCTCAGTATCGCCCGCGGCGAGGTACTTATCCCTGGCATTCAGCCGCGTTTTCGTTGAGCTCGTCAGTGGTCACCACGAGGTTCGGGTTGTTGCGCTGCTCTGAGTGGCAAAAGAGGGTTCCGCCAAAGACACAACTTGAGGATAGAAGGCCGCCAGCCCGCGCGCGCGAGTCGGACGACGCAACGTCCTACCCGTCGCCATCGTTTTGCACCGTGGCAGGGACGTGTCGGCGAATCGCCCCGGACGCCGGGAGGAAAGGCGACATGGTGGGAAGAGGTAAGAAGCGGCCACGTAAGGGCGACGCACGTGCACCCCGCCAATCGCGCACCGCACGTGCGCATTTTGATGGTCCGTGCGCCGTCTGCCAAGAGCATATTACCCGCCATCACTCGGCCCACTTTTTGTCTACCCACTACGACCACGAGGCCACACCTGCTCCCCGCACAGGACGGCCGTCCCTCCCGAGCATCGTTCTCTACCGTGACTGCCCTACTGCCCGCCTTGTCGACTTCCGCCACCCCGTTATCGGCACCACCAGTGTCTCCCTGACGCTGGCTCCCCCCGTCGAGTATTCAACGGCAAATAGCACCCAGTGTCGGTAGCTACGTGTGCTCGACGGCGCTGCCCCGGCCATTCGACGTCCCCTGGCAAGTACTAGTGCCATATGGGCCGGACTCCAGGTGGCTTCTCGATGTCTGTCCCGGCGTCTAATGATCGCCGGGTTCTTGGGGCCGGCGGCGGCGCGGTGCGACGAGGCGGGGTGGTTGGCGCTGCTGGTTTGGGCTCCGCCCCTTTCTGGCCTTCGGGTGCGTGTCGCACGTGCTCGTCGTATGGCGTCGTTTCGCTGCGGCTACCCCGGGCCTCAGTGCTGCGGCGCGCGATTCGGTACATGGTCGACGGGCGGGCGTACGGGCGGGCGTGCGGTGCCCTGGAGTGTGGCGTGCGGAGTCCCGGCGCCGGGGCTCCGTCCACCGTTGTTTTCACCCTCCGTGCTCCGTGGCGTGGTGTCAACAATTTTTTGCTTTCTTACGCTCGTTTCGGCGGGCTGGTGAAGGGACGCGCAAGAAGAGGTGCGTTAGACGGCTCCTCGCCTGGACCTCTTACTCACGTCGCTTCTCCCTAGCTGACATTCGACGCGTCGACCATTTCTTTGGGGACCTGACGACGGAGGGACAAATAGCGATGTGGTTGACGGTATATGGGTGCCACGTGGGCCCCCTCGCACAAGCGCGTCGAGTACGCTGACCTCATCTTTATCGCCGAGTACTTGTACCCCTGTCAACACGCAGCCCTAAATTCCTGTTTTTGCCACTGTTCGTCGACTGACTTTCCTGGTCCACGTTCTGCTGTGGCCCCTTTCCCCCCCTGAGCCGTCCGCGACTGTCATTCTCATTTCATACGCCATATGGGTCAAATCAGGGGACCGCTCCTCGTCGGGTGAACACTGGCGACCTGTTGGATTCGAAATCGGCACACGGAGGGATCGTCGTGGTGTCCCTCTCGCGATCGTCGGCTGGGAAAAGCGGACACGGGGCTTATTAAACAAGGCGTCTGCTCCACGGGCGCACCTCAGGCCCGACGCCGCTCCCGAGTCATTCTCCAGGGCCTGGGTGCATATAAAGCCGCTCAAACAGTGAGACGGGATCCTAGCGACAGCCCACCACCAGTTCAGCCTTAATACCGATGCAACTCACCACCTTCGTTGCCGCCATGCTCCTTATCCTCCCTGGGGCCACCGCCTCTCCCGCGCCCGCCCCGCCACCCGTGCAGCAGCGCCGCGTGGAGTGGAACTACGGCGCGAACTGCACCGACCGCGTGATCGGGAGAAGCGACGACACGCCCGACGGTCTGTGCGTCTTTCTCACGCTCGGCGCCTCCGCGCGCAGCTTCTCCTGGACCGGCGCGACGCACGGCATCGAGTTCTTCGTCTCCGGTGGCGGCCAGGAGGTGTGCAGCTGGCGCGCGCCCCCCGGCGCGGGCGGGCCCGGCAAGGTTTTCGCGGAGGAGGCTGGATGCGCCACCGCGCCGCCTGGGTGAGTTCTGCGACTTGTGTAGTGATCATTTGGCTGATGTTGCGCAGGTTCAATTGGCAGAGCTTCCGGTTCTTGCCCCCCCCAGGGCTCTAATTGCGATCTGTTCCGAGGCTCACTGGCATGCTTACGGCCCGCCCCGACCTACGATACCAGCTACTACTCACCTTCCTTTATTTCCACTCCGGCAACTCTCCGGGCAATCTCCACTCCTTTCTTGTATATGCTATTGAATTTAGTGATTCTATTTGCTCACATGTGACATGTGTCGGTGAATCTGCGGATGATCTGCTGCGTCACTGTGCTATATCGGCGTGGGATTTCCCGGGCGGTGATCGGGCGGTGTTGAATGGTAGTACTTAACACACGACAAGCTCCGTGCCTTCGCACTTTTACCCTTTGCTGATGCTTCAATCCCCCTTTCACAATATCTTGGACACCAACACTGTGCCATCTGATCATCAATGTGATTAGATCCGGGCCTTCATTCAGCCTTTCTGCACACAGCTGATAGATCTTGATCAAGAAGTGACAAGGCTGCAAACTCTGCTGGATTCTGCAACAACAGAATGAGACACAATGCAAAGTTTTGTCAAGGCTCACCAGGACTTGCTATCTCCAATGCGCCATATACCAGATGATGTTTTGCAGCTGATTTTCCTGCGCATAGAAATACTGCCATGGCCTTGACAGAAGGGCCTCTACTCCTGGCTCAAGTCTGCAAGTACTGGCAGCAGGTAGTCATGGCCACTCCCCTTCTCTGGGCATCAATGCACATTGTGACAATATCACAGACAGCCCCACCAGATGAAGTGAGCTTCCCAGTACATGGTCTCACTGTTCCACCGCCATACCTTGAAACATGGCTCAAGAATGGAGCTGAAACCCCTTTGGATATCACAATCACTCTATCTAAAGACTTTCAGTGCAACCTATTCAATCCCACAGATCTGGCAATATCAACATGTTCCCCAGCTCTGGTGTTATTACTTTCAGTTGCTCACAGGTGGCACAATATTCAATTACCCCAGCTATCACACCCTCAGGATATAGTTGCACTCTCTTCACTTAGTGAACAGAGCACTCCTCAATTAAACAGCATTGATATTCAACTTTCTTCAGATCATGCAGCAAACCCAATAGGGATCATGCAATTTCGGTTCTTGGCTACTTCCAGCCTCCAGCACTTCTCCTATCATGGTGCATTTAGTCTACTCCCTCATAATATCCAGTGGAGTAAACTGCTTACTCTTAAACTGCAATTCTTTTTGCTGTTTAGACCAGAGGAAACCATTATGTTCCCCTTTACCTTTCTGCAATACTGTGCCTCCTTGGAGGAGTTGGCAGTAACTCTAGGCAACCGTAGCATTATCCAGGCTGCAGAACATGTCATCCTTCCAAATCTTCAGAGTCTAAGGCTTGATACCAGGCAGTGCACAAGTGCCTTACCGCCACTAACAGCACTTCTTGATTGTCCTCAACTCCACAAACTATGCATTGCATCAGATGCAGCCTTCACCCAGGCCTCTGTTCACCACTTCAACCAGATTCAAAGCTTGGATATTTTAGCTAACCAATACAAGTCAGAAGATCTCCTAACAGTCCTCAGGGCTCTTCCCTTGCTTGTGTATTTAAAAATGAGAGGGAATCCATTGACAATGATTACTCCCCCAGTACACTATTGGAGTATTGCTCCCCCAACAGAACCTAACTTTGCAAAGCATTTCATTGTGGATAATAGTAATCTAGATCAGGATATTCTGTGTCCGGCTCTGACACATCTCAAGTGGCTGGATATAGATATCACAGATGATCTCATCATACAATTGATACTTTCACGCACTCCACCCACCATGACCTTGGGCTCTGCTGCCATTCTGCAAAGGCTGGAATGCTCATTCTGCAGATCTGCACAAGATGATATTGGAGAAGCTGTTTCAGATGCAGTTAGCATGGGGTTGCAATTACATCTCACATATAAGGAGCCAACTCTAGGCCCTGATTGCAAATACTCACCATTGGAAGGGACAGAGCAGGATCCTAATTTGAAGAGATGGAGTGAAAATTGTCAAACCCTGGATTTAAAAACCCTTTTTCTTCGCCCTTTAAACCTTTTATTTTGGCCCTGGTTGATAAGATAAGACAAGGAGGAGATAAGATGGACGATAAGATGGTGATTAGATCATCAGATGTCGATGCTGATGTTGATTGACAGCGTGGAGTTGGACATGAGGCAAACAGCACGTAAAGGCATGGCTAAAGTATGACGTCATTGCCTCTCGTATTAGGCATGGTAAACACATGGTAGTAGTGTATATAAGTAGAGTAGATTTCGTCTTGTACCCCAGTCTTGGAATTGCATCATCTTTACGATATCTTTTCACGGTGCTTCTTGCTTGCCTTCACTGGCCAACTGGCATCCTCTGAATTGGTGTTGTTTGTGACATAATTCAAGACTACCCTCCTACCCTCGTACCTTCCTACCTCCTACCACCTACCCAAACCCCTCCCCCTACCCCGTTACTATCGCCAAATTTCCCACGCCTTTTTCCCACGCCCTCTCCCCTTCTGCTCTAGGTCGTTGCTCTAGGTCCTTTTGCTCTAGGTTCTTTTCTTCTTGGCTAGGTACACTCGGAGACGACAATCCAAGGGACCCACTCGAGAGGACACGCGCTTCGTACTTGCAAGAGAGACGTCTGGCCCAACCCAGGTGCTTTCGTAGAGTCATAGCTGCTACAAGGAGCGCAGGGGCAATCTTCGGAGAACCCTAGTTCGTCCAGCGGGG